CCTTGTGAGTTCAAGGACAGCCTGGGCTACAAAGTGAGCTCAAGGCCAGCCCAAACTATAGTGAGACCCTGTCTTAAAAAGACAAAAACAAAATCCAGAAAACTTACATGTCTGTTTAATAATCATAAACAGCCGTCTTCACAGGCCATTTGAAATAATATCTGTAATCACTGCGTGTTACTCAGGTGCTGCACAAGTCCGTGAAACGTCTGATGCGTGCAGATTTCCGCGTGACTGCCTGCGGCGCGCGCCGGAGGCGGCATCTGGGCGGCGCTGGACCCTGCCCGCTCAGCCACACTTCCGCACGGCGCAGCTGAGGGAGGAAAAGATCACGGACGTCACATGAGCCGGGCAGGTGGCACGTGCGTGTGACCACCTCGCCAGTAGGTGCAGATCTGCCGACAAACCAGGAGGACGGGGGGTTCTCCTGGGGTGCTCCCCTCCCCCGCCCGCACATCCGCTTCTGCCTCTGCCCACGCCTGGTAGCCAGGGCGAGTATCTGTGTTACACCCCTAGCCCTTTATCTAAGAGATAAGAAAGACCAGTGCAAGCAGCTGGCCTTCGTTCAGACTCCGCCTCGCTGGGAACCTCACCCTCCTCTTTTCACCCAAAGTTTGCTGTCTCCGTTGCAGGTCGGAGAAAGGCGTTATCGCCCGGGCTGGCTTTGGTCTTTGGTCCACTTCCCTCCACTCTAGGTGATCGTAAACATTTCAGCAGCCAGGGCTGCTAGCCTTTATTTTAGGTGTCTCGAGCCACAGAAGTATAGACTTCGGGCTTTGTTTTATTTATTTACTTATTTATTTATGTTTGCAGCACATAATGACTACATTAATCATGGAAAGATAAAAATATGTTATTATACGTAACATTTTTTCAACTGTTTTGGAAGTTTGTTAGTGTAGGGACGGTGGGCCCTGTAGATAGGGACAAGATGGATGAAGGCCTCCTTGAGCCTTATTAAAAATGAATAGGCAGCCGGGCGTGGTGGTGCACGCCTGTAATCCCAGCACTTGGGAGGCTGAGGCAGGAGGAT